GAAGAATATTTTTGTATTCTACAGGAAAAATAAATAAAACTATCAAAGTATACAGGGTTAGAACAAAATGATTGAGTAGAAAAAGAATAAAACAAAAAAAAAGGTTACAAATTACATAACTATTTTTAAATTTCAGAACTGATGCAAAAGGTAACAGTTTAATTTCAGTCAACTAAATGGAAATTATTGACAGATGGAGATAAATCTTAAAACGGCCAAATATTTGATGAATCTTTTTTCATACATTAACAAAATCTTCCAAAAAGATCTTTTTGTGTTCCACAGAAAAAATATATAAATAATAATTAAATAATAATAGTGATGATAATTAAAAATACGGTATACATGCTTAAAACAAAATGATTGAGTAGAAACAAAATAATAATAAATAATATAAAATAATCTATTCTTTTAGTAAGCATCTAGCTAGTTTCACTTTGACCAGAACAGTCACATTAAGAAAGTTTGAAAGAAATGTGTGATAATGATAATGAGATGGGCGGGGCGTGGAGAGACTTGAGGCCACGCCCCCATCAGTCACTCCCATTGATCATGATAATGAGATGGGCGGGGCGTGGGAGAGACTTGAGGCCACGCCCCCATCAGTCACTCCCATTGATAATGGTAATGAGATGGGCGGGGCGTGGGAGAGACTTGAGGCCACGCCCCCATCAGTCACTCCCATTGATAATGGTAATGAGATGGGCGGGGCGTGGGGAGACTTGAGGCCATGCCGCCATCAGTCACTCCCATTGATAATGAGATGGGCGGGGCGTGGGGAAACTTGAGGCCACGCCCCCATCAGCCACTCCCATTGATGACAATGAGGTGGGCGGGGCGTGGGGAGACTTGAGACACTCCCATAAACACATGTGATAGCAGGTTTGTTCTGAATGACTCACAGTGCGAAATGAATGCCGGTGATGAGCTGCACAAGGAACTCTGACGTGACCATGAGCCTCGAGCTGATGCCTTTATAGCGCCGCGCCTGCTGCCGCGGATATCCACAGATACTGACTCTAAAACACACCAAAACACAAACAACTCAATCAAAATCTGAATCATGTTCAATGAAAAGCCCATGTTTGTCGTCCACCGGTGTGAATTCATTACTAGGATCAGTGTTTAGTGTTCTCAGGCCCATGAGGGAGTGTGATGTGACCTTTGACCCGCTCAATCTGTGGCCTGCAGTAGAGGGAATGATCTTTGCTCGCTCAGCTGTAAACGCCAGCTGATTGGTTGAGTGATCAGTCATGTGACCGTGAGCGGTCACAGATCTGAGTGCGTTCAGGTTCAGGTCTATAAGAGGATCAGGGTGACTGGACGCAGAGAGGATCATGGGTGGATTTGAGACGCATTATTCACAACAAACCCGACCTGAAGACCCGATGAGAGCAGATCTGAACTGCACACCGTCCAAAAATGCATATAATAAATGCACATAAATTGCACATAAACTAGGTGAAATTAAATAAAATCGAAATAATATTAAAAATAATATTTATTCACAAAAAATGTTAATTAATGATAAATAATGTGTTTGAAGAAAGAAAAAAAAAGAAATACGTTTAAATAAATATGTGAATATTTATTTATTTAATTTATTTATTCATTCATTTATTTACAAACTAACAGCCTTGGTAATGGATAATAAATAAATAAACACACTAAATCATTTTAAATAATTACATACACTAATTATTTCATTGTTTCAAATAAAAATTTAACTAAGAATTTAATAAAAATTTAAATAAATGAATGCATTGTATTTTAATAAATTAATTTAAATAATTAAATCTGAATATAATTACTATATTCTATATTACTAACTAAATAAAAACAAATAGGCTTAGCAATCACTGAATAAATGAAGGATTTTTGATAAAAAAATTTTTTTTATTAATTTGGGAACTGATACAAAAGGGATTAACTTATTTTAATCAACTAAACGGAGATTGACCTACACTGGAAATCTCAAAAAAGCCAAATATCAGACAAATTACTGCCCTGCCTGACATACTTCGGTCCAAGCGAGTAGGTCTGGATTGAAAGTTGGCAGCGACACCACAAGGAGGCAGGAGACGAGCTCAAGATTATATTTTTCTTAAAGCAAACAAGCAATTAAAGCAGTGAATCAATTAATTTTGACCATACAAAACGTTGGTGCTCAAACATTTGACATTTATGCCTCTGTGCTGGTCCATCACATCCCTCAAGAGTTCATTATAAAACGGACAGTGTGTGTTTTTAGGCTGAAACTGTATGTTAGTGTGTCGAACCTGGAGCTGAGCTGACACAGAGACTGCAGAGACGAGCTGCTCATGTAGCTCAGAGACGCATTATAACACAGCAGCAGGAACGTCAGCACCTCAAACCTAAAACACACATCATCAAATTACAGCTGCAAAACACACCATTCAATCCCCAGTCAGCACTCATTTGCTGATTAAAAATTGATGGCTATAATAAAAGCGTGGGGCGCGGGATGAATATTTGATGCGCACCTGTTCTGCGCGGTGAAGGTCTCGCGCTGCAGGTGGGGGCCGCTGTACACCACACGACTCAGACCGTGATTGGCCAAGGCTCCTTCCGTCAAGGCCAGAGAGCCAATGGAAGACGGCTGGGGGTGGGACACAGAGACGGACAGTCAGGACAGATGCAGAGTAGAGCTGTGACCGTGAAGAAATCGACGCGTGACAATATCACCGTATCCTCGCTTTCTTTCGCTTTTAAATAGCTTGTAGTAGTAGCAGTGGTAGTATATATTTATTTAATGCCATGTCAGCATCTTAGGCTATTTTCATGGCAAAAACAATACAAGTATAACAAATACAATAAAAACCAGCAAACAAACTCAACACAAGTTATATTAATACCAGTTTCAGCACAAAATAAACATGGCTAAACATCCGAAGGTAAGAGTACAACTTTACAATCCGTATCCTGTCTCATGTAATCTCTCAATCAGTGTTTCAGCCACGCAAAGACGTCAATACAACAGCTTGTAAACAATGTCACGTAACGTCACATTTCAATGTTTCATTTATAATTTGTTTTATGACAGCCACCATTAAAATTTTTAGATTTAAAAAAAACGAACTGAAGTGGAAATATTATGTAACTTTTATTATACCAACTTCATTAAGTGTAATTTATAGCCTAAAAAAATCAGTCTGTTTTAACCTTCAATATTATAGTAATGTAGCACCAACTGACTCTCATGTATATTTTACAGCATTAGTTAAGACAATTTGTTTCCTTGAGAAAATTTGGCATGTACTGTACCTGATATATGTGAGCCTGGACCACAAAACCAGTCACAAGGGTCAATTTTTCATCTAAAAGCTGAATAAATAAGCTTTCCATTGATGTATGGTTTGTTAGGATAGGACAATATTTGGCTGAGATACAACTATTTGAAAATCTGGAATCTGAGGGTGCAAAAAAAAATCTACATATTGAGAAAATCGCCTTTAAAGTTGTCCAAATGAAGTTATTAGCAATGCATATTACTAATCAAAAATTAAGTTTTGATATATTTACAGTAGGAAATTTACAAAATATCTTCATGGGACATGATATTTACTTAATATCCTAATGATTTTTGGCATAAAAGAAAAATCTATAATTTTGAGCCATACAATGTATTTTTGGCTATTGCTACAAATATACCCCAGCGACTTAAGACTGCTTTTGTGCTCCAGGGTCACAATTATCCATAATAATTGATATTGAATCGAATTGCAAGCTTGTCTTTGGTCTTGTCTTTCTCACCTCACTCTTCTCGTCAGTCAGCTCGACTCGCTCTCCTCACGTGATAAATTAAATATCTCTAACTGAACTAAATGATTTTTATTACTAGAAAAAATCAAAAAGACGGTGGGCAAGTGACGTAACCGGTGTTGTGGCTTAAGAGACGGATCAGATTGACTCACCTCATGATAAACCGACGGCTTCGATAAGGAAGGGATGGTGAAGGACAACACTTTACTCTGCCCGTCTTTATCAACGATTTCCTGAGAGAGAGAAATGATAAACATGACGGATTCAGACACACGAGGGAACATGCAAACAACAAAACCCTGCAACTGTACTGAAGATACACAAGGCAATAACCTTAATGACGATGCCTTTACAAATAAGCATATTTATGAGATTTATGAGCACATAGAGGTGTCGCATTTACTGTATTTAACTCGTTTTGTGTGCTGTCGATGAAGAACAGCAATAAAGCTCACCCAAAAACACCAATAATTTTAAGACAACAGGATTGCATAAAAAAAAAAATTCCCATCGGTCTCTTTGGCAGAATGATGAAAGCAACCAGATAAAGCATCAAGTACACATCTAATGCGTTTCCTTTGCACTGCAATTTCATTTTGTTCCTTTAACACTGAAAACAAAAGCTGCCCGTCTTTGTCAAAAAGCGAAACTGGAGAAACAAACACGTTTATTAGTTTATTTGGATCCCTATTAGCCACAACCAAGGTTATTGCCCAAAGTGTTCATTTTATTTCAATTAAAACTCATCTAAAGAATGCATAGAGACAAAAACAAAAGCAAAACTGTATTTCACCCCCTCCCCAAAGTCTGATCATTTATTACAAATTAAATATAAATACTATATCTATATACATTTTATTTCACCTAAAAAATTAATATAAATAAATATAAAACTTTAAATATATCTATATTACAAAAACACTTCCCCAAAAAATGATTTATATACAGTAATTGTATATACTTATAAAATATAGAAAAGATTTCCCCCATTATATATTTTATATATACACACACACACACACACACATCCATACATACTATATAGAAAAAAAAAATGATTTTC